AATTATTTTTGAAAATTTTAATAAAATTCTTATCAACTATTCAATTAATTTTTAATAAATCATAAAAGTCATCACAGGATATCAATTATTTTTAATACAATTTTATAGGAATTGCTTCTTTCTTTGAAAGAATTCAATTATGTCGATAAATAACGAAATTATTCCTGAAAATTCAATTATTTTGAGGCATTTTAATAATATTCTTCGCAAAATTTAATTATTTTCATAAATAATAATATTCATCACAAGAATTCAATTATTTTTAAAAATTAAAAGTAATAAATTTCTTCTTGGAAATTTAATTTTTTAAAAAAAATTCTAAGAAAATCTTTCTCAAGAATTCAATTATTTTCATAAATAATAATTCTCATCGCGAAGAATTTCAATTGTTTTTAATACTATTTTAAATTAATTATTCGAAAAATTCAATTATTTTCACAAATAAAGTTTTCTACAAGAATTTAATTATTTAAAATAAAATTTTCATAATATTTTATGATATTACGAAAAGATTATTTATTTAAAACAATGTTTATAAAATTCTTATGAAATATTCAATAATTTTTAAAAATAACAAAATTTTTCACCGAAATTCAATTCTTTTTAAACATATTTTAATAATAAATAAAAAATAAATAAATAAATAAAAAATTCTTCTTAGAAATTCAATTATTTTTAATACAATTTTACAAAAATTGCTCAAAAATGTACCTAATTAATCTTAAAAATATAATTTCAATTCCTCGAAAAAGTCAATTATTTAAAAAAATGTTTCTTTAAAATTCTTTGGAGGAATTTCATTATTTACAAAAATTTTTGAATTTTTCACAGGAATTCAATTATTTTAAAAAATTCTAATAAAATCTTTCGTAAGAATTAAGTTATATATTTATAAATAATAAAATATGTTTTTTAGGAATTCAATTATATTAAAAAATAATTTAATAAAATACCACACAGACATTTAATTATTGTCAAAAATTTTAATACAATTCTTTGTAAAATTTAAGTATTTTTAAAAACTTTTCGCAATTTAATAATTTTTAATATCTACTATTGTCATAAGATTTCCAAACAGAATTTAATTATTTAAAAAATCTTTTGAAAAAATTTTCGTAAGAATTCAATTATTTTCATAAAAATTTCTCAGGAATTCAAATATTTAAATTGGAATTTGTATAAAATTAGTCGGAAGAATTTTCCTCTCAAAACAAGAATATTTTTTATCAGTGTATTACAATTTTTGAAAATTAACTTTTAAAGAACTTTAATAATTTCAAACTTTAAAAATAATTGAATTCATTCTAATTTTTTAAAATAATTCAATTACTTTCAATATTTTCAATTCTATATTTCCAAAAATTCAAATACATACAATAAATAATAATATTAAAATTTTTTTTATATAACCTTTTTTTTAACATTGTGGAGAAAATAATTAGGTTCAAATTTAAAATTCTTCAAAATATTAATTAGTTAAGAAATGCAATTATTTTTGAAAAAATACATTACAATATTTTATAAAAACTTATTTATAATATTTATAATTAAAACTCTTTAAAAATTTGATTATTTTTTTATGCTTTTCAAAAATTTATTTTTAAAAGATTTTACCAAATTTCAATTGTTAGGAAATTTTGCAATTGAATATACCTATAATTGAAAAACTATTATAACTATCAAAAATTATTTAAAAATATTTTAAAAGATTAATCTTAAAAGTGCACATTTTCGACTTAACTGTGGTACTTAAATGGTAAATTCTTTATATTATTTATTTCCAAATATGAAGAATAAAAATCTATTTTTTAATTTTTTATATTAAAAAACGATTTAAAAACATCAGGTACCATCCAGGGACAATAATTAACTCTGAAATTAGAATATGGACATTTTCAGATCTTTCCTGTATCAGTTATTTGGAATTTATCAGTTATTTTATTTCTAAATTCTTTTTTTTAATGTATGTTTAATTCCAACAAAAACAGTAAATTTTGAAATAAATTATTAGTCTGTTGTAAAATAAAAAATGACATTACCTATAACGATAATGCTGCGCGCAATGAACGACAGATGCCAGCACATGCCTTTCCCTTGTTGAACGTTTTATTATCATTTTCTTGCAATTGATATAAAAATTAATAAATTTTGTGGTAATTTATATATATATATATATATATACTAGGGGGGCTTCGCCCCCCTGCGCGCTTCGCGCGCCAACCCCCTATCTCTATTTTTCTATTAATTTTAATTTTTATAAATTTAAAGTAATTTTTTCTTAATATCAATGCATCTTAATAAATTGCATACAATACATGACAAAATACGCATAGATTTTGACGTAATGTAATAATCGTTATGGACCTTTTTTATATATATGTCAAAAATTAGATTAAACTTTGACATATATTTTGACCCATTTTAACCTATATAGGTTAAAAAGGCGTCAAATTTTAAATAGATTTTGACGTATCATAGATACGTTTATTGTCCTTTATTGTCCCTTTTTAAGTTGTAGTTAAATAAAAGTCAAATTACACATAGATTATGACGTAACTAAATGAGGAAGTAAAAATAAAACGTCAAAATTAGGTCAAAATGATAGGTGTAAGAGCAAACACAATTTTAAAATTACCTTACATTGTTAGGTAAGATGCCAAACTTCACCTCATCATTAAGTCTGCGCGCGGAAATTGTTTGACAAATTTTGATGTGTAGGTCAAAACTGCCCTCAAAATTGACCTAAATTTTGAGGGTAGCGGAAATTGTTTGTCAAACTTTAACGTCTAGGTCAAAACTGCCCTCAAAATTGACCTTAATTTTAAGGGTAGCGGGAATTCTTTGTCAAATTTTGACGTCTGGGTCAAAACTGCCCTCAAAATTGACCTAAATTTTGAGGGTAGTGGAAATTGTTTGTCAATTTTTGATGGGTAGGTCAAAATTGCCCTTAAAATTGACCTAAATTTTGAGGGTAGCGGAAATTGTTTGTCTAGGTCAAAACTGCCCTCAAAATTGACCTAAATTTTGAGGGTAGCGGAAATTCTTTGTCAAATTTTGACGCCTAGGTCAAAATTGACCTATATTAACGTAATGTGAGGCCTTTATTTATCCTCTTTTTGACCTACAGGTAAAAAAATATGTCAAATTAGACATAGATTTTGACGTAATGTGAGGCCGTTATTTATCCTCTTTTTGACCTATAGGTCAAAAAATAGGTCAATTTTGACATAAGTTTTGACGGCCCCTTTGGGCTAGGGCGCCCTTACAGAATCTTGAAACAGCGGCGGCGGCGGCGGCGATATCTTTTTGTAATATAGGTAGATATATATAATACAATTTGTGGTAATAATTTACAAATAAAAAATATTAATTATAAAATATTTTCTAAATTATTATATTTTAAGTGATACAAAATTAAAAATACATAGGTACATTTTTTGCATTTTTATTTCTTCATTTGAAAAGTCACGTATATATATTTTTCGGTAGAATGTTTCATTAAGGGGGTACAACTTATAGACAAAGTAGATCTAAATTTTTTAAAAATATCCTAGCGCCTTTTCTTGACATAGATCTATAAAATATTACACCCTATTATACATTTAGGAAACTAATTTTTTATCATAAATATAGAGGATGAATATTTCATTTATTGTAATTAATAGAAAAAAATTAATAAACTAATAAAAATAAAATGTCTAGGACTATAGACATTACAAAGTTAATTTTCTCAAAAACCGATTTGATTAAAAATACCAAATATTATTAATTTATTTAAACAAATGTAAACATTGGAGGCGGTCAAAGTTTAAATTTTTAGTGTAACATATGGAATATTTTAAAAATTGGTAGTTTTTTTAAAACAAAACGAAAAGATGTTTTCTATTTTGGGTTTTTTTTTGCTATTTTTCAGCACTTTCTAATGGTGCAAACAACAATAAAAACAATTTTCTGATTTATTTTATCTAAATTTCTTAAATAAACTTAAAACGTGACAACTATATTAAATTTCTTTTCTTAAAACTGTTATTAAACTGCGATATGTAATAAATATCACTCTATGTTTGTTTATTGATAAGTTTTATTATTTTTAAATCTATACTCGAAACACCTGTGCTACTTATCTACTCATATTCAACGTTGTGTGTAACTCACAAGTACTTTCTAAATATTCAATTTTGTGTGATCTGTTTATTAATTACGGAAAAAAATTTTTCACCCAAGCTGTAAGCAGTATTTACGAAAGTAACTCTAAGATAAAATATATTATTGGACTTATTTATACGAGCGTATTCTTAATTACATTATGAACAGTTTGTGTGGTCTTAGACATCTTCGGGTGAAAAATTAAAAATAGTAATTATTCGATATCAGAAGTATCAAAAATGCAGTTTAAAGAAAAATGAGTTTAACATTCAAATCTACCATTCTTTCTGTAACGAATGTTGAAGGGAAATAAATAAATAAATAATAGTATTTACCGACCGACTTTTAACCTCGCTCCTCGATAAGGCTCGTCTTAGCTCCCAGAAATTTCCAACCGGCGCGGATCCTAGCCCGTACTGACGCCGGTGTAACTATACTGGTTGGGAACCCCCTGCCAACCGAATTAATTTACAATTAATTAATAGAATTCATTGAAAATTAAATATTCATCAAACTTTTCTTTATTAGGAAAATGCTTAGAAATTGTTGATATTCCGCGAAAAATTTTCTGACGTCCACCGAATAGAGGTTCATTAAAATGAAATAGTTTTATTTAAATTAATAATTCCAAATAATTTATCCTCATTAAAAAATATTTATTTTTTATATTTTTAAAAATTTTTTATATATACTTAAACTTCTAATCACTATTTTAGTTTATGTTTCTTTGCAAATATATAAAATTTTTTCTTTCTATCTTTACTTGATGTGCCTTCAGTTTTTCTATTGGTTATCAACACATAAAATAAATATTTACTATATGAGATATCGACAAACGTAAAATTAAAAATTTTGCAAACGCCACATCAAGCAGTTTGATACGTTGCGTTTAAGTTGAATCAATTTTCAAAAAGTTAAGTTGGTTCAATTGTTAATGTTCATTTTTAAACAAAAACAAATATCACAGAAGAAATTAATATTTTTGTAAATAAGCAGAGAAGACCTGAGCCAAAATTACTAAGGTAAGATGTTACTACGGCTATATCTCTGGAATAAAAATAATTAAAAATATGTTTGTAAAATATATATATATATATATTCTGTATTTTAAACTTCACATTCAAGATTCCAAATTCCGCACTAAGAATTCCGCATTCTGCGGATTTCGAATTCAATATGAACGTGCTGACGTCACCCATGATTAATATTGTTGTAACCGTCAAACGATTAACATTGTGATGTCAGCACGTTCGTCAATGTAGAGGCAGCTTAATATTAACGGCCACTTCCAGGGTGCGTTCACGTAATTACACTCTCCCTCGTTGTGACTTTTACACCACCTCAAGAGTAGGTGCAGAAAGTGTAGCGAAATGTATGGTAAAATTGCGTCACATCCGGCAAAGAGAACAGCATAGTGCAGGTTAGGTGTTAAAGTGTAAGAAGTGCAAGCAACGAGAACATCCCGTGTGGAAATTGCCCGACTTCGCCTTATTTAAAGAAGGGCACTGATGAGGATTTAGTGAGGCCAACCACACAAGTAATGTCTAGATAGGTGATAATAGGGCACTGACTAGAATGCCTTCTTTTTCCAAATAGGAAAATCTAGCTGGATCTATTTATGCCCTTATTAAATATTTCAATCAGGCTCTGACTAGAATGCCCTTTTTGTCTGAACAGGAAAATCTATCTGGTATCTATTTATGCCCCTATTAGGTATTTTAATTAATTTTCAATTTCATTGACAAATCCCAATTTCTAAATAATAAGCAACGAAATTATCAGAAAAATAGTTCTAAACGCATATTAAAATACTATTTAAAGTTTAAAAACTATTTGAGCAAAAATATTTGCTATTTTTAAATTTCAAAATATTGCACTTTTTCTCACAAGCGGTAAAGGAATGTTCTGTTTAGTATATAAGGACGATGAGAAAGTAGATTCATAGCGTGCGAGTTAGTGTTAGGTATGCGTTAGTGTTAGTGTTAAGTTAGTCATTGGTTGATTGGTCGAAACAGTGTTGTTTACATGTGTGTTTGTTCAGTAACTTGTTCAATATTACTGGCGCAATATTACGCCTGTCGTAAATTTTTGCTTTGGTATTTAGAAAAACTAATGAGGCGCTAAAGAGGCCCTCTAGTTAAATCCCCACATTCTGCTTTTCTATTCAGGCAGTGACAAGGCAATCTAGTTAGAACCTCTCTATCTTTCCACATCATCATCTGATATTTCAAGCGTGACGAAATTAGACGGGTCCCGACTAATTTTCCTAGTTTGCGCCTCACTAAACGAAAGGGCGTCTATTTGTGCGTAGACCTTTTTTCACAATAGAATTGCGGGTCTATTATTACGAGGTTCGGGTCTCTAACCTAATTTTTATTGCTCAAAAGTTTTGCAATTTATAAAATTTCAAGTAAAAATGAATATAAATTCAAAATCTAGTGTAAATTAACCCTGGTAAAAATTTCGGACTAATTCCGGATGAAATACGGACAGATTAGTACGGATTAGACCGAAAATTGTACGAAAAAGGTCTGAAAATGATCCGCGCTAGTCTGATATCAATCCGAACGAAAACCTGAATCCGAAAATACTCCAGAGTAATCCTGAATGTATACGAATTTAGTCTGTAATTAGTCCACAACAATCCAAATTTATGACAGGTTATGAATTCTTCTGAAATAAGTACAAAATTATCCGATATCAATATGTAAAGAATACGGAATCAGTCCGCAACAATCCGAGTTTAATCTAGTTAAAAAAACTTAATCCGAAAATGTCCGGAGCAATCCGAACTCTGTAAGCAAGAAATCCGGTATTAGTCCGCAACAATTTGAAATTAAGTGTGGCAAAATCCTATTCCGAAACAAGTACGAAACAATCCGAAATCTGTATGCTAAGAATCCAAAAATTGCCTGCAACAATCCGGATTTAATCCAACTAAAAGGTATAATCCGAAACAAATACAAAATAATTTCCGAAATCTGGACACGAAGAATCCGACATTAGTCCGCTTCAATTCGAAATTAGTGTGGTAAAATCATATTCCGAAACAAATACGAAACAATCCGAAATATGTATGCTAAGAATCCGGTAATAGACGGCCACCCGAATCATATTATATCCCTGATAAAAATTTCGGACTAATCCGGATTAAATCCTGGTACATTAGTGTGGATTAGTCCGATAATTGTACGAAAATGATCCGCGTTAATCTAACATCAATCCGAGTGAAATTGTGAATCCTAAATCAGTCTGGAGTAACCTTAAATGTCTATATGAATGAAGTCCGTAATTATTATGCAACAATACGAAATTATGTCCGTCAAAAAATTCATCTAAAATAAATACGAAATAATCCGAAATCAATATGTAAATAATACGAAATCAGTCCGCAATAATCCGAATTTAATCCAGTTAAAAGATTTAATCCGAAACAAGTATGGAACAATTTGGATTGTTCCATACTTGTTTCGGAATCTTTATGCAAAGAATCGGGTAATAGTCAGCGTCAATCCGAATAATATCTGATCAAAACACCACAGTACGAAAATAAGTCTTATTATTATAAGAATTTATAAATATTTATATATATACAATCCACAGACAGTTTAAAACAATCCATATTCAATCCAATTCAAAGACTTAATCAGGAATGATTTTGGTATAATATTGAATTTGTATATTAAAAACAATTTGTATTAAATGCAGATAAATTCAAACTATATAATTATAATTTCGTATGACAAAAACCTGACCAAAACAAGATTAATTCCGGATTTAATAATTTCACACTTCCAAGTTGCGTACACGGAGAAAATTTATTCCTGAAATTTTACTGAATTTAGTTCGGTAAAACTGGGATGAAGTGTCAAAACAGTAATTTTTCAAGAACTAGACTGTAAAAGAAATTGCATTGAAAAATAATGTAAAAATCATAAAGCTCACGATACATGTATTAGCGCTTCAGTTACAGTTCGGTAAAACGTAAGCCAAGTGCTCGCTACATTCATATTTATTGAATTGTTCGGTAAAACGTAAGATAAAGTCTTCGGTAAAACTGACGAGTTGCAATTTATTGAATAGTTCGGTAAAACGTAAGATAAAGTCTTCGGTAAAACTGACGAGTTGCAATTTACTGAAAGTTCGGTAAAACTTGAAGAACAAAAATAAAAAATAATGTTACTTCAGTAGATCTATATTAATACTGCCGTAACTCTCAATTTACCTACTTTAATCACTACCTAAACCCCCTACAATTGTTTACGAACAAATACTAATTGATACACCTGCCTACAGTACATTCTAAACGCATACACTAATACACACATCGCACGCTTTACATTAATGCTTCAGAAAGTTTCAACTGTCCTTATATATTAATCTCAATTTTATTTCACCGCTTGTGAGAAAGATTCAAATTAATAAACTATCGTTGTACAAAATTAAAAATTATTTATATTAATGAATCATTTCTAACTATATTCAAGGTCAATTTATGAAATATTTTTAAATTATGTTTTTATTATTAGAAAGAAAAATGTTTAAATTTGTATTTAATGGAATAAAACAATAATTTATGAAAATCCTTATTATTCTCAAATTTTTGTGTTTAAAATTAAAAATATACATATTAAAAGTGCAAGTTGGAAATTATTAAATTAATTAATAGAAAATTAATCTTTCTGAAATATTAAATAATAATTGTGAGGTATTAAAAAGCGAAAAGGAAATAAGCAAGTAAGCAAATAAGGAATAAAGTAAGCAAGAAGGAAATAAGCAAGTAAGAAAGTAAGCAAATAGGAAAGTAAGTAATCAAGAAGGAAATAAGCAAGTAAACAAAGTAAGAAAGGAGGAAATAAGCAAGTAAGCAAAGTAAGCAAGAAGGAAATAAGAAAGTAAGCAAGTAAGCATATAAGGAAGTAAGTAAGCAGAAAGGAAACAAGCAAGTAAGCAAGAAGGAAATTAGGAAGTAAGCAAATAAGTAGGTAAGCAAGTAAGCAAATTAAGAAAGTAAGTATGCAAATAAGAAAGTAAGCTAGTAAGCAAGCAAGTTATTTCCTTTCTGCTTACTTGCTTACCTACTTATTTACTTACTTACATACTTACTTATATGTTTAATTGCTTACTTATTTATTTCCTTTTTGCTTACTTACTTGCTTTCTTGATTGCTTGCTTACTTACTTACTATTATTCATATTTAATTAAAATGAATAAATTATATGTTAAAAAAATAAGTATGTTATTGCCATTTTATATTTTCTTTTTACATGATTTAAAAGCATTTATTACATATTTGGCAATTAATAAGTGTTTAAAATAATTAATTAATTAATTGAATTTTAATTTAAATAATAATAAAATGATTATTAATTAAGTCTAAATAAGTTGGAAAAATCAACTATTAGAGTGAAAGTCTTTCATTTGACTGCGGGACACTTGAAATAAAGTATTTCAATCCAGAAAACTAAAACTTTAGGCAAGTCAAGGAAGTTTTACCGAACTATTCCTGAAAACTAACACTTTAAGCAAGTCAAGAAAGTTTTACCGAACTATTCCTAAAACGTTAGTGCCCATCAAGGAGGTATTTATTTAATTTACATTAAACGTTCAGTTTCAATTTTTTTTTCAACTTTTACAGTACTAGTTCTTAAGGAATAAAGATATCACATTAGATTTTAAATATTGTTACCGAAAAAATAATATAAAAATTATTAAAAATTACGATTATGCTACTATATCCCAAGTTTATTGAAAAATTCGGTAAAATGTAAGGAACAAATTTTCTCCGTGTATTATCAGACTAACTTTGGACTAGATCGGACTAATTCCGGATTCACTGGTTATACAAAAACCGCATTGAGTTTGAATTTATGAGCGACAAAAACCTGTCCATAATTATGCAAACTGTTTCGGATTAGCTGCGGATTCACTGGTTAAACTAACCGGATTACTTCTGCATTTACTAGTCGCATATGATCTGACTAACTGCAGACTAAACCGGACTAATTACCGATTCAATAGTTATAAAAAACGGTATTGATTTCAAACTTAATTTATGGTGAAAAACCCCACAATAAACCGTACTGTTGCGGACAAATTCCGGATTAGTCCGAAATCGGTCCCACTTTTTATTCAGGGTATTTACTTATGGTAAATTAAATATTTAATTCTGCAGTCAATTTGTTTTTCCAAATTTACTAGTATTATTATAGTTATCTTGTTTCAATATTAAAATTAACACTGATGTGTTAGTTTCTTGTCATTTCTTTTCGTGGCACTTAATAAATTCTATTATGAATTTGAACTCCCATGCGAGCGTGGTATAGTGGTTAGTGTATTCGATTTCGGTGCGATATAATGTTAGATAGGTGTAGGTTCGAATCCCCAAGCGTTAGAAATTTTAAGTTAATGTAAATAAAATTGCGATAGGTATATCGAAAAATATGTTGAATGTAGCATAAAGTAATAATAATTAATATGTGTAACTTGTATAATTATTCTTTTATTAACATTCACTAAATTGTCTGGACTAATTCCGGATTCACTAGTTAAAATTAACTGATTAATTTCGGACTTCATCGAACCAACTCCGGTTTTACTAGTTGTTCACAAACCGTATAGAGTTCGGATTTTTCCGGATTAATTTCGGGTGACAAAAACCTGACCATAAACCGCATTGTTTCGGACAAATTTCGAATTAGTCCGAAATCTGTCCGGTTTTTTAACCATGGTTAGTTACTGAATAATCACTCTCGCGAATGAGAGAGTAATGACGTGAACACATCCCTGTGTCATTTTTAAAAATCGAATAAGTACATTATTAAAAAGTTTTCTTCAATTTTTATGTATCTATGAAATTCATGTATTTTACTAAACCATTTTGAATTTTTAAAATCTGATGACGGATTTGTAATCAGCAACACAAAAACCCCCTAGATACTGCAATTTGAATGAAAATCTATTAATTTAAAAGAAAATTAGTCCGACAATTTGAATTTTAAAAATCTGACATTGGCTTCGTAGTCAGTGACCCCAAAAACCTCTAGAACCCAAGCTCACAATAATTTTGAGTTACTTGTTTGATTCTGACGCGGTGGAGCAAATCGAACTTCAGATCATAATATTATCTTCAAAAATTAATTTATTACTGAAAAGTGAAAAATATTGTCGTCAAATTAAGGTCAAATAGATATCAAGTAATATTACTTCTCTTTGAGACTCATTGCCAACATTGCTTTTTATTACATATATACCTGAATGTAATTTTAAAAAATAGTTTATAAATGTTTATAAATATAAATTAATTTAAAAAAGTTAATATATAATTACTTTTCAATTATTTATTGATTATTTTTAATAAATTTAGTAATAATAATTTAGAATAATCATCTAATTTTGTAAATAATAAATTATTATTTAAACAAATTGAAATTGTAAACAAAAGTTATGATCAGTAAATTATTTTATTTTATAGATTTTAGATTATCACCGAAGATAAGTTTAAACTTGCATTCATACGTGAGGAAATATTGTCATTAATCAAACATGATCGCAATGTTAATTATCTGCATGGTAGTTCCAATGATGAATTGCCAAAATTGTACAATTAAAGAAGATGACATATTGGAAATTAGTAAAATGCTTGATGAAACTGTTATCATGAGAGATTTCAATGAAGCAATTTGCATAGGCTCTGCAAGATCTGGAAAAAGTGCATTAATTAATTATTTAATTGGCAATAAACTGATGGTTAAAAAACAAAGATATAATACTATTCTAGTAAAAGCAGACGAAAATTCCTTAGGACCAGAAATTGGTTCTACATCAGTATCAAAAACTTTGCATCCCACAAAATGGACTTCAAGGAAATTATCTAATTTGACTATTTGGGACACTCCCGGATTTGAAGACAACAGAGGAGAAATTCAAGACATAATAAATGCTTTTTGTATTTATAGTTTGGTGAAGAATATTAAATCTGTCAAATTTATTGCAGTTATCAGCTTTGATGTAATTAACGATGATTATACAAAACCATTTACAACATTTTTAAATAATCTTGAAGAATTATTTGGAGAAATGTTTGAAAATGTTTTTGATAGCATAACAATAATTTTTTCAAAAGTACCTTTTCGTTTGTTTGACCAACAAGTGGACAATGAGTTCATAAATAATAGGCTAAGGAGATATTCTTCTTCAACAGAAATACAAATAGATACTGTTTCAAGAAAATTTTTAAAGTATATAGTAAATAATCGTAATCATGTTGGTATTTTCAGGAAAGTGAATGATAATAATGATATTTTACATATCGATGATAATATTTTCCAGTCTATTGAAAACTCTTATTTCACATCGACAAATTCTCTCAACGATTTACATCCAGTTATTTCAAAAACATCAAAAATTTGCTTACACAAAATCCGAGATAATTTTCTGAAACCAGATATTCTAACTAAATTAGAGATCGTTGTGTTATCAGTTTGCAGTGAAAAAATAAAAAATTTAAATGATTCTAGCATGTTTGTAGATGAAAAAACAGTAATGGGAATTAGAAACAAATTAATTGCAATTGAACAAGTGTTGCTTGACGCTGTATCAAATACAACAATATATGAGAAAAAGATACAACTTATTGAAACAATTGATGTTAGGATAAAGGTTGTAATTGAGGAGAATAATTTATTGAATTATTATAAACTCAATAGATTTACTGATTATTGTTTAAATGAAAACCTGGGCAAAACAATTAAACATAATCTTGAAAAATTGTTACACAATTTAATTTTCCAAATAAAACAATCAATTGAAGTGACTTTTAATAGCACTAACGATAATATACATGAAAAACATAAAAAGAAAATGGAAAATATGAACAAACAGTTCCAACCAGTAATTTTGTTTTTAAGGTCTGCATTGAATAATGCAAAAGGAAAATCTGAATTGAGTAGTGAAGAAGGATGCTAACTAAACAACATTTTTGAAAGATTCTTTGGTATAAGTTGTCAAAGGCTTCTCCCACACTTATATGTTGATGGAAGTAATAAGTTATGAAATTTAGTGAGGGCATCCGGGAAATAATAATGGTTTCGTGAGCGACGTCTCATTTAAAAAGAAAAGAATATTTTGAGTCGGAATCCGCGCTGCTCTCGGAATTTAAGAAAATTTCGATAAATAATTATTGAAAGAAATTGTAAGGGCATCCGGGAAAAATCGAGCCCAAAAAGTGTTTTCCCGCGTGTCGTCTCACTCCTAAATAATGAGAGATATTTAGTTCGGATTTATCATGATAATTAGGGGAATTCATGATGATAAAGAATATTCTCGAAATTTGCAAGTAATTTTTGAAATAAATATTGAAAAACGAAATTACAAAAGTTGGATTTTTGGCGAAAGTGAGAGGCAATATGGCGGCGAGCACACAGACAAGTGGATCTATGTGTCAGTGGTCAAGGAGGTGGCGCAAATTCTCGGAAGTGGTCGCGACTCGAACTGAGGAAATGTATTAATCTTAAATTACTCCACTTTCAATCGTTAATAAAATAATTTCCTCGCAAAATTATTGCAAAAACGGAGAGGGCCGCTCCTCGGAGAGTCTTCCTCTATCACCCCTCCAAATATGAACCCGAAATATTTTATCCTCTCAAAATGAGACGTCTATACTGAACCGTTCAAAACCCCCTTTTTCCGTATATTTAAACAATTTTTTTCAATAATTATTCATGAAAATTTCTCTAAATTCTGAGAGGACCGCTGGTCCCAGAGCATTTCTCTATATTTACCAAAAAATCCCGACTCAAAATATTCTTTTCTTTTTAAATGAGACGTCTATCACGTTTGGTATTGACGTCTCATTTTGAGAGGATAAAATATTTCGGGTTCATATTTGCAGGACGATTTTTCCCGGATGCCCTTAATACCTATATATAATATTAAATATGTTGATATCATTTTATCGATTTAAAACTTGTGTTTCATTTTCAAGTTTAACAAATTTTTTTGCTCTTTTTGAATTGAGAATTCTAAGTAGGTTTTGGTAAGTTAGAAATATATCCTTTCATAGTTTTGTTAATGTTGATAATATATATGATCTTGGGAAGGTAAGATTTGAATTTCATTCAAATCTTACGTAAGTAGGTTTTGTATTCAAATGAAATAAATTTTTTTTTCCTTAAAAATTCATTAATATGTTAGAAATATATATATAGAAATACTATACCAAATCAATGTAACATGATGTTATTATTTATACCTAATAATAAAATAAACATATTGTTCATCTTATAAACAAGCAATTTTATAACCTTTGCGTTTTGTTCTTCCTTCTCCATATAATTATTATTTAATTCATATTTTTCGAATTTGAAAAAATTGATTTTATATCTCATTAAGAGCTGAAAGGCAAAAAGTTAATTATTTATGATTTGTTTACATAATGAATTGGATAATAGCAGAAAATCTGTTATGCTTTCGGAAATGAAAAAATATTATACATATAAACATTAAGTCGAAAACTTACATGTGATAGGAATTTCGACTAAGAAAATAAGATCCTGCGAAAAGTGTGAAAAGACCTTTATCAGCGTCGTCCTCGGTGTTTTTTTGACCTCTTCAATATTTATCGAGAATGTTCAGAACATTCGAATCATTTTACCATTCGTTCAATGATCTTCACTTTCCGCGCGCTTACGCTTTTAAGCGCCGAGCAAAGGTCATCACTGTATACTGTAGATCTGTAAGCGTGAGCACTGGCTCTTTCAAAAAGAATATTGAGTCCTTGTAGATAATATATCCTTCTGACAAGTGAGAGTCAATACGAATGGAAGAGTTTTGCACATGTTTCTATTTTCGCAGTTTCGAGCAAGAATTGATGAGTTATCTTGAATCTAATGAGAGTTACAACGTTTGATCACGGGCGATCGCTAATTAATCGGGAAAAAATGAAAGAAGAGAAGCAAAGATCAGAGTATAATTGGTAAATACTCCTTAGATATCAGATGTACATTCGCGCGGTTATATTTTAAGTCCGTCAAACCTATTGAGAAATTTATTTTATTAAGTAAATCCGTTTTCTATTTTTATATGAAAATTTTCAATGGATTTCGATTTGCAATAGCGCATTGCATTATATATAGCTCTAAAATTAAATGAATTAAAATTAAATAAAAATTGTAAGCTAAAATATTAATATCGGGAGTTATCAAATTTTTCTCCAAATAAGTAACAACCTCTCCGGATGAAATGTAATGGATTAACCCTTATCCCATAAAGAATCAAACTGCAAACTTAATTACAATGAGTTTGAATATGTGTGTAGCCGAATTACTTCTATGAAATGTTGATTAGATAATAGTAGTGCTGCATAAAATATTACTTGAGGAAAATAATTTTTTTAACCATGTTGAAATTAAGAGATCACACATATAAATAGTATTGTTGGGACGGAATAAAAGAAATTTTCTCTCGAAGTGAAGAATAATTTATACCGCGTTCAATGTTGAACCCTTCAATTATTATTTGAATGCAGCGAATATATATTCTGCACGAGTATAGGTATACCACGTGAATATCTCAAACAATGAAATAAGCGACAGCAACAATAATAGATAGACTTGCATAATGTAACATTACAGCGGTACTATATTTGCTTTGGTTCTACTCGCAAACAATTAAAAGCATTCACTAGTTGGATGAGGTTCGACGTGATTCGAAAGTGGTACATCGTTAAATTATTGCTGATCTAACAATAACGTTCTTTCCGCGTATAGCCTACACTGGAGCCAAGCGTCCTAGGCATTAGTCCCTCGCCTTCCTTCTAGTTACAATATATACTGGGATACCTTCAACCACTATGCCAATATAGGTACGCAGACCGCGATCGTGCCTCACCAATAAAAACACAATCGCGATGCAATCATCGCTCATCGGAATAACGATGATTTGCATTATTCAAAAGCACGAGCGAATTGTATGAACGATCCGAGAACCCTTACCTCCGATCTTCTTTTATAAAAGTCGTCCATCCGTCCGGGTCAGTCATCGTCGTTTGTCGAGATATGCATATATATTCACATCTAGATATACCTATACATCGAATTATAGTTTTATTTTCCTATCTCTTAGTTGCAACTTTATATGAAAAATTATGAATTCTTATAACAGAGTACTTGTTAGTATTTCTACACTAACGGGGGAGTAGTGCGAACGCTTTGAAAAACATGCACTGAAATGCAAATTCCTTATTAAAAATAAATGACCACAAAAACGTCCGGACCGTAAATACGACCCCTAATATGGGCATATTAGTGACTCTTTATATGACCATTCATGTGACCGCGAATTTGAAACAGCATTAGTATCCCTATTAATGGTCCAATTTGTGTTCATATTAATGATCCTACATGTGACCCCATTAATCATCGCATTTTAGCTCACATTTGAAAAAAAATTCACAAAAATATTTTCTTTCTAAATAGATTAATATATCAATAAACTTATTATTATTAGCTGATAGAAATTCATTTACCAAATTTTACTATGTCTACTTAGTTGTTACGTAGACAACATTCATTTATAAAAGAACTAGCCAAACTATCCGCGCGCAAGCGCGCGGGAATGTTGTATGGGGCTGCTTATTTTAAACAATTTAAAAAATTTTAAAGAAATAATTATTATAACCTAACAAAGAAATTTAACTAACTAAAATTTAAATAATTTCACTCAATGGTCTCAATTTAAATAGAATTTACATTACTAGACTTAAACTATGGCTAGAACAATTACAATTAGTATCTGGGTCATCTTTTGCATTGCTTATTTTATAAAGCCATTTTAAATTAAATACTTTTCAAAGAAATAATAATTATTACACAATGAAAAAAGTTTTACTTGAAATAGCGATAAGTTTCTCTAGAATAACGAAAGTATTAATTAAAGCACTGAAAAATTTCGCTACTAAAGTGAAATCTGTAGTTCATCCAGCTAAATATTTTTTGCCGTGCATAACGAAAAAAGAATTAAATTAACATCAGATTTTCTACATTCAAAAAAAACGAATTCAAATAGAAATTAATCATTTTACAACTTAACCAAATTCACCCCAGAAATCACTGAATTCGATAATTTAGAAGAAAGTCAGACAAAAGTAGGGTTCCTACAGAATCTGAAAATCATGGAAATGGTATGGAATTTTTAAAAGGCTTCTGGAAATCAGGGAAATCATGGAAAAGGCATGTAATTTTTAAAAAATTCTAAATTTTTTGCAGTTTTCCATTTTTTCTCTTGAATAAAAATTCAAATAATAATAAATCTAAATGGTATAAAAGCGAAAAAAAATGTTAAATTTTAAGAAATTCAATTTTTCGGATTTTAGATAATTTTTAATAATTTTTTATTTTTTTCCAAAGAGTCGAGACAATTTAATAAGTAAAGTATTTTCCAAAAGCACAAAAATAATGAAGCTAAATCCCATAAAAGAGAGGAAAAAATGTTGAATTTTAAGAAAAACGGATTTTTGAAATTTTTCGAATTTTTGATAATTTTAGATTTTTTACCAAAGAGTCGAGACTATTAAATAAGTAAAGTATTTTCCAAAAGCACAAAAATAATGAAGCTAAATCCCATAAAAGAGAGGAAAAAATGTTGAATTTTAAGAAAAACGGATTTTTGAAATTTTTCGAATTTTTGATAATTTTAGATTTTTTACCAAAGGGTCGAGACAATTTAATGAGTAAAGTATTTTCTAAAAGCACAAAAATAATGAAGCTAAATCCCATAAAAAAAAAGAAAAAATGTTGAATTTTAAGAAATTCGGATTTTTGAATTTTTGATAATTTTCGATAATTTTAGATTTTTTACCAAAGGGTCGAGACAATTTAATAAGTAAAGTATTTTCCAAAAGCACAAAAATAATGAAGCTAAATCCCATAAAAGAGAAGAAAAAATGTTGAATTTTAAGAAATTCGGATTTTTGAATTTTTGATAATTTTCGATAATTTTAGATTTTTTACCAAAGGGTCGAGACAATTTAATAAGTAAAGTATTTTCCAAAAGCACAAAAATAATGAAGCTAAATCCCATAAAAAAAAAGAAAAAATGTTGAATTTTAAGAAATTCGGATTTTTGAATTTTTGATAATTTTCGATAATTTTAGATTTTTTACCAAAGGGTCGAGACAATTTAATAAGTAAAGTATTTTCCAAAAGCACAAAAATAATAAAGCTAAATCCCATAAAAGAGAAGAAAAAATGTTGAATTTTAAGAAATTCGGATTTTTGAAATTTTTCGAATTTTTGATAATTTTAGATTTTTTACCAAAGAGTCGAGACAATTTAATAAGTAAAGTATTTTCTAAAAGCACAAAAATAATGAAGCTAAATCCCATAAAAGAGAAGAAAAAATGTTGAATTTTAAGAAATTCGGATTTTTGAATTTTTGATAATTTTCGATAATTTTAGATTTTTTACCAAAGGGTCGAGACAATTTAATGAGTAAAGTATTTTCCAAAAGCACAAAAATAATGAAGCTAAATCCCATAAAAGAGAGGAAAAAATGTTGAATTTTAAGAAATTCGGATTTTTGAATTTTTGATAATTTTCGATAATTTTAGATTTTTTACCAAAGAGTCGAGACAATTTAATAAGTAAAGTATTTTCCAAAAGCACAAAAATAATGAAGCTAAATCCCATAAAAGAGAGGAAAAAATGTTGAATTTTAAGAAAAACGGATTTTTGAAATTTTTCGAATTTTTGATAATTTTAGATTTTTTACCAAAGAGTCGAGACTATTAAATAAGTAAAGTATTTTCCAAAAGCACAAAAATAATGAAGCTAAATCCCATAAAAGAGAGGAAAAAATGTTGAATTTTAAGAAAAACGGATTTTTGAAATTTTTCGAATTTTTGATAATTTTAGATTTTTTACCAAAGGGTCGAGACAATTTAATGAGTAAAGTATTTTCTAAAAGCACAAAAATAATGAAGCTAAATCCCATAAAAGAGAAGAAAAAATGTTGAATTTTAAGAAATTCGGATTTTTGAATTTTTGATAATTTTCGATAATTTTAGATTTTTTACCAAAGGGTCGAGACAATTTAATAAGTAAAGTATTTTCCAAAAGCACAAAAATAATGAAGCTAAATCCCATAAAAGAGAATAAAAAATGTTAAAATTTAAGAAATTTGGATTTTTGAATTTTTGATAATTTTCGATAATTTTAGATTTTTTACCAAAGAGTCGAGACAATTTAATAAGTAAAGTA